CAGCGCCCGCCGCTTCCAGGGCCCTGTGCCCCCTACCCCACTACTGCGCCCGGCTCCCTCCCGTATCCCCGCCGCCCCCTGTAGCCCCCACTCTCTCCGGCAGTCCCCGCTCCCTCCCGCGCCCTTTTTGCCTCTCGCGCTGGGCTCCCTCCTGCGCCCCCCCCGCCCCTGCCCCGGGCATCCTCTCTACCTCCAGTGCCCAGTTCCCTGCGGAGCGGAGCGCGCGCTCGCCTTAGCGGGGAGGGGACCTCGGCGTTCTCCCGGCGCCCGAGCGTCTCCGACAGTCTGTCCGCCGGGGTTGGAGGAGTTTGGCTGCGAGGTTGTTTCTCGGATCCGGCAGCCTTGCAGAGTGTGTGTAAAACCCTTCCCCCGTCAAGAGGGGACCCAGCCAGCCTGCGCCCTGCCAGCTCGGGGGACCGGAGGCGGGTGTTAGTGGTTAGGGGAAACTTTCCAGCAGAGCGCCTTGCTGGAGCAAACGGCGCATCTGTCAAGAACGCTTTCTGGGCGCTCTTGCAAGGAGCTTCCGTTGTTCCAGTGCAGTAGACGCAGAAAGGAAGCGAAGGTTTGTGCATCTGACAGCTAACGCTGAGGACCAGTTGGAAAATCACACACTCCTCAGCCCCAGCTAATGAATATGTGAGTATGATGCAACAGCGTGTCGATATTATAGAGGCTTAAGGAAACACAAATGTTAACGTAGAGTAAATGACACCGCCAAGAACAAAGAACACATTTAATTACATTCCAGACTTTTCACGTTCAGTAATAACACTTGTATTCTGTGTTTTATTACTCACATGATTTTATATTTTCAGCTGGGTCAATACAAACAAAAAGGTACTGTTAGTTTTCGTTGACGTAATGAGCTGACATTTCAGATTCCTGGGGCTGCTCGGTTGCTTTCTCCTTTGCCCAAGTTCCCAGATTCCGAAAACTCCAGGATTAGTTTTGGAGGGATGAGAGAAGAAAATATGTAAATACTCAAAAGGATTAATATCCTATAGCGTTTAAAATTCTATCAGTGGTTTTTGAGGTGGCGAATGAATCCGTGTGAAATTGGCGAGTTGTTAGCCCAGCTGTGGGTGGATTCTGTGTGGGGAAGAGCCACCTTGAACACACAGTGCGGCAGCGGGACTGCAAGCCCCCTCTCTAATCCTGCCATGGTGACGTCCTCAGCTCAGCTTTGAAAATAAAAGGCCTTTAATGGAATCCTCGAGAAGTAAACAGCTTCTAATTACCCATGTAAGGGTGCATGAAAACGTTATACACTGCTCACAGGCCTTTCTCGAATTGGAATAAAAATAGGGTCTGGAAGGAACATCAACATCTGGACCTAACCCATATTCTTACCTTGCAGAGAGAGACTGATTTCCACAGCTCCCCAAGTCAAGAGCTAAAAGCAAGGCTTACTCAGTTTATAAAGTCGAGCAGTTTTAACCACCTTCCCTTACTTAAATCCAAACATAAATTTGCTTCAGGCCCAAACTGGATAATCAATCAGTGTTACAAGGCGGGTGGGTGTGGGTGTGGGTGATTTGTTTATTCACCCCTAAGCCAGGACTTGTCAGCGAGTTCTGTCAACCTGGAGAGGTTGAGAAGGGGGAGCAAGAAGAGGAAGGGGGCTAGAAAGAGGGGAGGAACGGGGACTGCACCCTGAGTTTAGTGTAAGCTCCCAAGAGCCTTAGTTACCTGTCACTGCAAACTTGTCTCCCCTTCAGGCTTCCTTCTGTTGCCACCCTCAGGAGGCAGACTCAAAATAGCCAAGGGGTTGGAAAGATTTGGATTTGACGCTGCCCAGGAAAGGGGTTCTGAGTGCTGGGCCATGGAGTGAGGTGTAGGGAATGTGGGGAGGAGGCTTTCTATCCTGCGCCATCTTTCTGTCAAGAGGTGTTACTGGAATAGTGTGTGCCAAGCTTAAGTGCCCATGATGGGCCAAGGGATTGCATTTCTGTGAGAGATAAAGCCAGAATGTGGTTGCAGAGGTTCAGTGAGGAGGCCTGGATGCCAGTAACATTACCACAGGTATACATATCTATGTATTTGTGTACATTACGTATAAATACATGCATTTGTATTCATATGTATGTGTATAAACATACCATGTATCAGGGCATGGGATTAGAATTGTCACAAAACTCTCCTGAAACTTTTTTTTTCCTGCTCAGTCAGAGGTACATCAAACTCCCCCAAATTTCTGGATAATAAATACCTTAAATCACAAATATTCAAAACCAGAAGGTTATTTTAATAGGAGTTCCAACATAGGGCTGCAGGCATAAAGGGGACTCTGGCATTCTTGGGGCTTTCTTTCACTTGTTTTTATGGAAAAGTGTGGAATAGCCCATGTTCAACTAGAGTTAGCTTTCTTTTAAAATAAAATGTTCTCGGATCTCCTTTAAATCTTACATTTCATGATACTTTTTTGGGGACACTTTTGAGCTACCCTTTTTGGTCCTTAAATGAGGATATAGATTAAGAAGAAAAGGTTCACCATATCCACTTATGCAGGTGTTACATGTTGCAAGTTCAAAATTAATAACTCCACCATTTCCCCATTCCCTCCTGGAAACTGTCAAAATGATTCAGTTCTTCGGAACCCATGGATTTGACAGTACTTTACGAAACAACAGAAAGCTCCAACAATAAATGCTAATAAGCTCATGGAGAGGGAGTAGGCTTCTTCCTCCATAGTTCCCACCCCTACCTCCCTTTTCCATCCCACTACCACCCCTCCACATCTGCACATGCCATGGTTTTCTTTGGTCTCCCAGCCTCTAAATCTCCCTGCTCCATTTAATCTGGCATCCCATAGTCAAATTAATATTTCTAAAATGCTGCTTTGAAGCAAGATGCTTTTGTGTTCTCCTCAACACAATAAATATTTGAGCAAAAACTATTTCCTGTTTAATTTTAAAATCTCATTTTTTACTAGTATGAGAAATAATTGAGTGTTTTTGGGAGTTACGATCTTCTCTCATGCTTAGAATTTACAGTAATAATTCATATTCCTATAGTCCAGTCCACTTTTTCATGTAAGTATTTCAAAATACTTTGTAAATACAAGGTAGGCTCATGAGATAACTTTATATCATACCTACTCAGTAATAAATAAAGTCGGACATAGGTAACAGATTTTCCAAAGGGGTCACACGAGTCCACATCAATAAAAAGCACTCCCTAATCTTCATAAATATTTAAGGTGAATGACCTTTTCCCGTAGCCTTCATTTGTGATACTACATGTCCAGGCATTTCTGCTCTGGAAGAATAGCTGATGACTTGAATCTTGTTTCAAGTTCTAGATTGAATTAAACAGTACAGCAGTGATTAATAGTGATTACAGCCACCAGGAGCTTGGCCAACACCTTTCCGCTCTTGAGTTGATTTTGCTAGGAAATGAGATAAAAATAATAGTGAATAGCCTAACCAGACAGCTGCTGGAATATGGGCCAACGGAAGTCTTGGGGGGAATTTCCAAGTAAAGCCCCAAGAAGTATATCAAATCAGTAAGTCAGCAAAATTTGCCTTGGGGCTGATCATGGGTGGCGGGGTTTGGTAATCAGAGCTCAAGTGGCTGTTTCAGAGGAAAGACACACAACTCCTCACATAAAGAATACTACCGCGGAAACAGTCACTCAGGGCTAACTAACCAGAGAACAGCCTGCACCCGTGGCTGGCACTTAAGGTCATATACTGGTTTTGCAGCTACAGTTTACATAGGGACAGGCAACTCCATCCACTGTGATAAGAATGAGGACAGTTGTAATCCTAGCAAAGCCTGGACTGCTTGGAAAATTCAAAAGCTTTCCTCTCCCACTTCCTCCGTCTTTGCCCCTTCCTCCTCTTCCTGGTGTGTCTCATGAGTACATTGAACAGAGCTAGAGCCAATAACAATATTTTTCAAAATCTGGATGTATTGGAAAGTGTTCAGACCTGGGAGGCAGAAGATCCAGGTTTGTATCCTGGCTTTGCCACTTTTCGGTTTGACCTTCTGCAGTGGCTTCATCTTTAAAACGGACGTACCTTTTGTTCCCTCACACGACCGTGCATGGGTTAAATGAGAGAATGTACGTGAAGGCTTCCTGAAATCACATATAGCACCATATATTTGCAACACATCAAATTCAGTCTTATCCAATCCTCATGAATTTTCAAAGCATGAAAAGGGTCAGAATTTGCTCGTATGAGAAGTCCATTCACTTAAATCAGCTTCTCTTTATCAGCTGGACTCTTTTCTCACACCAGATATTAATATGACTCAGAGGCTGGATAACAGTGAACTATTTTTAAATGCTTTTACCTTTGGCACATCATCTTTTTAAAAAAGTTTCCCCCCTTTTTTTTTTGCCCTTCCTTATTATGAGCCCTATTCTATTTTTTAAAAGTATTTGTTTCTTTGAGTCTCTGAAATTCCTTGTAAGTATTTCAGCTGTGAAATATTAGCAGTAAAGGATTTTTTTCCCCCTCAAGTCAACTACTTAGCACCATGACTAGTAACTTAAAAAAAAAAAAAACAAAAAAAGGAAAGCAATGCAATATAAAACCAAAGCCAACTTTCAAAAATTCTGTTCTTATTCAGTTGTATAATGAATAATGATGGCTTGCTGGCCGGCTGATAGCTTACCTTTAGGTGCTCCTGGCAATAGGAATATCATGTTACACATGAAAAGCATTTGGCTAGGAGTCATCCTTCAATGGACCCAAGTCCAGAGCTTGGGGTGACCACAAGCTGTGCTAATTATTGAAAACTCTAGGTTTTATTTTAACAGAGTCTTACCGTGTTCCAGATAAAACAATTATGTTGTAACCAGCCGAGGAGTTTGTAACAACAAGAATCTCTCCAAGCCCTTATTTTAAGTTTCTGAAGGGTAGGAATGATGCCTTTTAAACATTTTAGCTCCCATTTATGCTGGCCATGTAGTTGGTACTTCATAAATTCCTGTGCAATAGAGGAACCACTTAAAATCTTATGTATAGTAGATTCTACCAAATAAAAGAAGACATTGTGTCTTTTTTTTTAAGATTTTATTTATTTATTTGACAGACACAGCAAGAGAGGGAACACAAGCAGGGGGAGCGGGAGAGGGAGAGGGAGAAGCAGGCTTCCTGCTGAGCAGAGAGCCCGATGAGGGGCTCGATCCCAGGACCCTGGGATCATGACCTGAGCCGAAGGCAGACGCTTAACGACTGAGCCACCCAGGTGCCTCAGACATTGTGTTTTCCATTCATCCATGGAACATGGCATCTGGGTACTCCAATTGAATGGAATTGCCAAAGGGAACCAGGTGGAAGAAGGTAGTTGTCTGCTCTGCCTCCCTCCAGGTGATAGATCAAATCATTTACATTTCTTTCTTTTCACTCATTACTTTGAGACACCAAACAGGCATCTTCTTTCACATGTTTTTCCACTTTGTATTGTATAGGTATTTTCCTAGTTAACTTACTCATTACTTATGTACTACATAAAAGCCCATCCAGACCCACTCAATATATAGGGGCATGGCAGGTCCTTTGCCTAGGAAGGGCTGAGTCTGAAGACACGAGTGAGAGAGTATTGCTGCAACTTTAGTTTTAACAACCGGTGCGGTCAGACTTCTTGCTTTGAAAATAAATATCAACCCTTGGACGTGACATTTATTTTCCACAATGTCTCAGCTTTGCAGCTCCTTGAATAAAACCTGCTAGAGACCTTTATCTCATGACAGATTTCTGTTTCCAGAGCATTATCCCCTAATTAAATGTTGAGGGGGCAATGACCTTCTTAACAGACCTCTTCTAAATAGAAGCTACTTTTTACACTGGTGGAGAAATGATGGGATTTTTTTATCTCCCCATTTTAATATGGAGAAACTGGAGCATAAGGAGAGAGACCTGCTTAAGGTTTCAAGGAAAGGAAAAGGGAGTTCTTGACTTTCCTGCCTCCTGAGCTAATCTTCAATTACCAGAACCGGCATCCTTAACAGATTTTGGCTCACCTCTGACTACTTGTCAGCATAATTCAATTGCGTGATATATTTGGGGCCTAGAGCAGGTCGTGGAGTAATTTTTTGAATACAAAGCTCCGAACAAGTGAAAAGATTCTATCATGCAATGTTTATTTGTATTGTTCAATTGGTTTAAGTATAAGAGATCTAGAAGAATAATCATATTTAGCCACACAAATGAAATTCTCATTGTTAATACATTTCAGTGTGAATTTCCAAAAATGCCACATGAATGCTAACTCTGAAGGCAAAAAGAACACCAAAGAAAAGCCAAGCAATTAAGCAATTTGGTTTTTTTGGTTTGTTTTTTAATCTGTAACTGGAAGAAGATTTCACAGAAGACTCTTACTGAGAATGAAAGGCTCAAAAGTAGTGACAACTTTGGGGATTTTACTTAAGAGTCTAAATAAAGCTGCTTGGGAGTTTGGAACAGAAAAATGAAAAACCAAACTCTACTTGCTTTGCCATTCCACATCCTAATACCTTTTCCATACCAGGTGGTCAGATACACATTGAGCTGCGAGGCTCTCCGAAATGCCGGGGGAAGGCACTAATACAGTATTTGGCGTAGTTTTGAAAATATTTTTTTTCTTATTCTAAAAATGTCTGATTCTGACTTGTCACCATTTCCATCCTACTCCCTACCTTTCCTCTCTCCTGCTGCAAACTATTCTGCAGCAGGCATGTTTCAACCCCCCCCATGACTAATTAATTAATAGAGACTCTATGCCTTTTCATAGCTCTCTCTTGTGGATAACAATATGGTCTCGGTTTATAAAAATCCCACACATATATATTCATATGTATAGTTTTCATAAGTCCTCATCAGGGAGGTGACTTAGAATGGAAATAATTTCTTAAGCAAGTTAAAAGCCCATGATTAACTTTGCAAAAAATTATAATCAGTATTTTATAGCATAGCCAGCCTTGGTGGCAGATTTTGAAAATATCCCTGGCCTAGGCAATTTTGTTTTAGATGCTTTTTATTACATAATTTCAAATTATGGCATTTAAGCAAGATTACACTCATTTTAATGATTAGTTTTGACATTTACCTCTCTATATATACCATAATGATTAAGAATGCAGGCTCTGGAGTTAGACCACCTGGGTTAAAATCCAGGTTCTGCCATTTAGTAGCTGGATGACTCAGAACAAGTTGTTTGAACACCTCAGGCCCCTGTTTTGTCATCTGTTAAATGGGAATAATAATATCCCACCTACTTGGGCGCTGTTTGGGAGGAGTCAATAAGATAGGGCATAAAAGCATTTGTCATAGCGCTTGGCTTATCTTACATATTTAATAAACATCAACTTTTTTTTTCTCCCCCTGGCACCACCAGACCACTACAGATCATGACATAAAGCAGAAAAATCTTCATTCTGTGCAAAACCAAGGGTGGCAAAGAAGGCAGCTTCCAATCAGTGGAAATTGAATAATTGAATAAATGTGTTCTTTTTTAAAAGTGAGAGATGTAGTAAAGAATCTAATTTGGTAAGTACTCTTTTGGTTTCAAAGTTTATTCCTTTGTGGTCATTTAATCTGATTATCGTTCCGCTTGGGGAATTAGAATTTCCTAAACTAATTTTGCATCACGGAAAGGTCATTCCAGAGAGTTCCACCCTATGGTATAACCATGTTCCAAGTATATGAAACAACAATGACAAAAGAAAGCCTCACTGGGCTCTTGATTATCTTGGATAATTGATCCAAGCTGCTGCTTTTTATGGGGTAAATTCTTAAGACCTCAAGGAGGCCAGAAGATTCTCTTGTGACCTTCAGTTCCCTTGAGTGCAAGGGGTCTCACTACCTCATCCCCTGAGAACGAACGGAGGGTAAAGAAGTTTTTCCAAGTCTCTGAGTTTCGACCCCTAGGAGACACTCAGACCCTAACTTGGAGCTATTAATTTTATTTCAGCAGCAGTTTCAATGCCTTATTTTCCCCGTTTCTGTTCTTTCATAAGAGACTAAGAGAAACAAATTGGAGCGAAGGAGTAAGGCTGGTGCAGGGGGCGCAAAGAGGACATGCGGGAACTTTCTATCAGAACACGGGGAAGCGAGGGAAGCCACTTACTGCAGAGAGAGTGTTCTGTGCCGCAGCCACTGATGACCCCACATCATTGAGAGGTTTAGTTGGTGTTTAGCTGTCCTCAGTTAAGAAACAGAGTGTGCATTTTAGAAATATCTTTATTAAGGAATAGTATGAAAATTTCAGAACATCGTATTTTCCAGAACACTTCTGTTATCTAGAAAATGAATTTATATGGACTGTTTCATGCTCCAGTGATGCTGGATCCATGAGGCGTGAATTAGTTGGCTAGAAGTCCAAAATCAAGGTGCCAGTCAGTTTGTTCTGAGGGCTGTGAGGAGAGGGTCTGTCCCAGGTCTCTTCCCTTGGCTGGTAGTTGGCCATCTTTCCTCTGTGCCTGTCTGTGTCCAAATCTCTCCTTTCAATAAGGACACCTGTCCTGTTGAATCAGACCCACCTTCACGACCTCAGTTTATCTTCATTACTTCTGTAAAATCATGTTTGGAGATCCAAATAAGGTCACATTCTGAGGGGTTGGGAGTTAGGACTCCAACACATGTTTTCTGGGGGGACATATTCACCCCTGAGCAAGATGCTACTTGTATGTAAGAAAGTTCGATGCCTTATGCACAATCTCTAGTCATCCGTGTTTCAGAATGTTCTATTATGTCTTCTAGGACAGGGCAAGCAGAATGACTCCTTAAGAGTTCACACTAAAGATGGCTCCCCGATTAAGTGGCATCCAGACCCTGGTGAGAATAGTCACCTTTGTTGTAGGATTGCAGCCGGCCACAAAGTCACGAGTGCCACCAGCTGAATGTGGTCCCATCAAGTTCCTGTGTGGGCTGAGTAAGTAGCCTGGGTCTTCACATGGAGGCGGGGAGGGGTACATGTAAGCCACATCCCTGTTCACTGTGTGCTCCAGGTATGGTTAAATGCCCTGCTCTTTTATAGCTTTCATTACCCACCAAGAAACGCAACTATTGTCTTGCAAGTGAAATAGAAAAATTCAGGTATATGTTAATAATTCCCATTCAAGGTAAAAATTAGCCAGTCCATTTGGTTGGTTGTACAGAATACTTTTCAGCGGGTTGACATTGTGTAGACACACAAACAGTTGCTCTCCACAGCAATAACATGGATGTTATTTTTTTCTGAACCAGAATTAGGGTAACAGACAGCAAATAACTCGGTAGGAGATATACAACAATCCTTTATAACTGAAGAACAAAGCAGGCCTTTGAGGCAAGATAAACTCAGGTACTCACTCATATAGAATCCATTGAATAACAGCATTTTTATGACCTTGAAGTAATGATTTTGATTGAGAGGGTGATTCAGATCCTAAACTATTGGCAAGCAGGGGTTTGACTAAGAAATAACTCCCTTCAGTATATCAACTTAGATTTACTATGGAATCTGAAGCTCACGAACGTTCTAATTTTATCCACCCTTAAGTGGTATATTTAATTGTCCTTTGTGGACACCGATGACGAAGCTGATAATATTTTAACCTGTGCATGGCCATGGACCAAATGAACCTGGATTTTATGCCCACGATACAAAACCCCAAAAGCCCTACCTGGTTAAGGCCCAAGAACTCAATCTGAGCATTTGTCTTGCCATTTGATATAAGAAATGGCTCACAGCTGTCCTGGATGCCTCTGCTACAGGAGCTGAATATGGAACCGGATGCCTAAGTATAAAAATCCGAGGATCTCTCTAACATAGTATGGCATTCTGTGTTGCAGTGAGGCCAACTCCTCCTTACAGATAAATCTGTTACGTGCGTGCTATGTAAACAGCATGAATTTAGATGTATACGAAACAGTATTTTTAAAAATGTCACATCTAAGTGTTTTTAATGACTGGGTTAGTTCAGTAGAACCATCTTATATAAGATGGCACTTAAAGAAAAGCTCAAATCTGTGCATCTGAGTATTATTTAGTCATCTGTTTGTGCAACTATATTTTTAACTTAATTTATGATGAACAAATAGTCTTTCTGAACTCCCAAGTTGTGTTTTCATACTTCAATTTGGTTTATTTTCCTCTCAGTTTCCTTGAGAACCCATTACAGAGAACTTTCTTTGGAAACTTCACAAAGTTAGCAGCATCTGTCAGAAAGCACCAAACCAAACAACCAAAATTAAAAACTGAGAATAGAATCATAGGGCATATGCATTCTTTCCAAAGCAATGTAACAGAAACAGATCTATGTCACATTCTCTTTCTTGTTCCTGTTTCTCTTTATCTTTATTGAAAACATCATCTGTGGCCATGTAAAACGTCTGCCAACACTTCTGAGTGCCAAAGAATCTTTATATTTTTGTTGATTGAAGTATTGTTATTGTCACAGTGTTAATGGTAATATACAGCTTTAAAAATCCACTTGCCATGGGATGTAGGATAGTAAGTCTGGATGAAAGACTTGGACCCTGTCTTCAATAAGTTTACCCTCAGGGAGTTTCCCTCCCTCCCTCCCTTCCTTCCTTCCTTCCTTCCTTCCTTCCAATTCCATTGAGGAATAATTGACAAATACATGGCACATATATTCAAAGCATACGATGTAATGATTTGATATACATATAGGTTGTGGAATGATCACCAAGATCAAAATAGTGCATCTATCACCTTAGTGTAGGTAAGTCTTTCCTATTTTGTGGTGACAATGCTCCCATTCCCTGTTCCTAAGAAATTTTGTTTTGTTTTAGATGCCAGAGTATTTGTCTTTCTCTGTCTAGCTTATTTCACTGAGCATAATGCCTTCCAGATTTATCTGTATTGTTGCAAATGGCAGGCTTTCCTTCTTTTTCATGGCTGAGTAATATTCCGTTGTAGCTATATACCACATTTTCTTTCTCTGTCCATCTGTCAAAGGACATTTAAGTTGTTTCTACATCTTGGCTATTGTGAGAAATGTTGCAGTGAACACAAGAGCGCAGGTATCTCTTTGAGATCCTGATTTCAGTTCTTTCGGGTATGTACCCACAAGTGGGATTGCTGGATCATAGGGTAGTTCTATTTTTAATGTTGTGAGGAACCTCCATACTTTTTTCCATAACGGCTTCGCCAATTTCCATTCCCACCAACAGTGTGCCAGGCTTCCCTTTTCTCTGTGTCCTTGCCAACATTTGTCATTGCTTGTCTTTTTTATCAGAGCCAACCTTGCAGGTGTGAGGGGATATCTCCTTGTGGTTCTGGTTTGCATTTCCCTGATGAGGAGTGATGGATGTCACTAGGGATTGGTCAGAGCCAGTGATTAAACACCAGACACTATTCCGAGGTATCATTTGTGATATCTCATTTACTTCTTGTAATGGCCTTGTCTGGTGTTATGTTTGCTTCATAAGGGAGGGAACCGAGGCTCAGAAAAGTTGAGTGATTTGCCCAAAGTTCCACAACTAGTAAATGGCAGAGCGGGACTTCCAGCCCAGGTCTGTGGGACTTCAAGGCTAGAGCTCTTGACCACTCTAAAACAAGGCCTCATTTTATTTTTTTCCTGTTTTGAAACAGCTTCATTTTTTTGAAACTAAGATCCAAATTCAATTGATGTAAGAAAATCTTAAGTGAATCCTCTGCGTAATATCATGTGAATTTTTTCTTGTGTTTAGCTTTTGTAAAAACTTTATTTGTAAGGATGTTTTCCATGAATGCACAGGGCTGGTTTCCCATGAGTTACCAAAATTCCGCCTGTTTGACATTTCCTCTCTTCCACTGTTCCCGTGTCAGTTCTGCCTCTCAACTTCCTAGACAGTCAACAATCATGCCCTTTCAACACTTTCAAAATTTTGTTCCAATTTCTGTGACCAACGGGGAGAAAAATGACCATTAACTGGGGGTGCCACCACTGGGAACAGCATTGGCGAGAGTGGAATTCACTCCCCAGGACCCCTCTCCTCGCCTGGGCCCCAGGCAGCAAGTCAGCCTTTCCTGCTTAGAGCTTTTCTAGAATGAGTCAGCTAATCCTGTATCCCCTCAATTCCATAAGACATAGGCCAGGATCTCCAGAAGAGTCTCCTAACGCCTCCTCCTTTGTTTGAGGGCAGTGGGAAAGAGCCACTCCTCTGCAAAGAGCCTAGGAGCAACACTCAAGCCTCTGGTTAAGACCCTCATGATGGACTAGGCCCCTGTGCAGGGTGTTGGGTCACCCCCCTGCAGGGTCTGCATGGATGGTCTAGCCCTTCTCTTTAGAATGCATGGGTGCCTAACAAACCTTGTTCTCAGCTGTAGGGTCTCAGCCCACACTGAGTGTCAGAAGAGTCCTCTGTTAACATCCTGTTACACATAGTTTGGGGAATTTTTGGCACACGGTTGTAATCAGAATCATGGTGGAGGCAGTGAGGGAAGGGGAGGGATGCCTTAGAAATGCATGTGGTGAAAGTGAGGCTGCCAAAGATGGGGCTAACATTCAAAGGCACAACGGGGACGAGTAACCCACATACCCAGAGAAAAACATCCCAGATGCTGAGGTGAGACCCTGGAGATAAGAGAAGACCTAGAAGAGAATTCTGTTGAGGAAGCAAAGAGAAGAGAGCTTCAAGAGAGGGGATGGTATAAAGGACCAGCTCCTTGATGTTCAAAGAGCTTCTAGAAATCAAGAATGAGAAGACCAGCAGCTCAATGGAAAATGGGCGAAGATCAGGATTGGATAGCCCTCGATAAAAGAAAGACAGGTGGCCCCTGAATTTCTGCAGAGATGCTCAGCCTCACTCCCAATAAGGGGATCCCAGGTGAAAACTACCCTGGGATCCATTTCTCATGCTGGAGATGGGCAAGCATTTTGATAAGATGCTGTGTTGTCAACATTGTGAGGACAGGAGCACTCTGACGCAGTGCTGATCAGAGTGCATAATGCTTCAAGCCCAGAGCAGGTGGATGTGGCGGCATCCGTCTTTGACACAGAGGGCCACCTGACTGTCCCGGAAACACATTTCCCTTTCAGGTTCTAGGATAGCAACTTCTCCAGTTTTCCTCCTGTGTCCCAGTTTGTACCTCTGAACCTTCTTTGCTGGCAGTTCCTCTTCTGCCTGGCTTCTCAATGCTCGGGGCTCATTCCAGAGCTCTCTTCTCTATCTCCACCCTCTCCTTAGGTCACCTCATCCAATCCCATTGCCTAGTTGTTCTTTTTTTTTTGGGGGGGGGGACTGGTAAAATACCCGTTTATATAAATTTCACCATTTTAAAGTGTACCATTTAGTGGCACTTAGCACATTCACATTATTGTGCAACTGCCACCTCCATCTGGTCCCAGAACATCCCCCATCACCCCAAAGGAAAACTCTGTACCTATTTAGCAGTCCCTCCCCATTCCCTCCTTTCTCAGCCCCTGGCAGTCACTACTCTGCTTTCTGTTTCTGGATTTGCTTATTCTGGATGTTCTATATAAATGGAACTGTTTTCCTAGCACAATGTTTTCAAGGTTCACCTACTTTGTAGCCTGTGTTAGGGCTTCCTTCCTTTCCATGGCTGAGTAGTATTCCACTGTGTGGCTATTCTGCATTTCATTTATCCATTCATCTGTTGATGGCCACTTGTGTTGTTTCTACCATTTGGCTGTTTTCAATAGTGTTGCTATGAATATTTGTGTACAAGTTTTATTTTCAATTCTTTGGGGTCTATACTTAGGAGCAGAATTGCTGGATCATATGGTAATTCTGGGTTTAATCCAACTATTTGCTTTTTTTTTTTTTAACATCCATAGACTGATGACTCCAAAATCTATAGCTCTGGCCTGATTCCTCCCAACTGTCTACCTCAAATCTCCCCTGGCATACAGACGTCTCACAGCTGACTTGTCCAGCACTGACGCCGTTAATCTCTGCTCCCTCCAGACTCTTCTCCGGTCTTCCCGGCTCAGGAAATGGCACTGCTTTTGACGTAGGGACTCTCTCTGATGGAGGCCCTAGGGCTCACCCTCACTTTCCCCCTTTCCAGCTCTCCCCATATCCAGTCCATCGGCAAGTGCTGTGGACTCTGTGTTTGCCATCTTGTCACCTCTTCCCTGCTGCTCCCTTGATCCAAGCCAGCAACTTCCACTCCTACCCCTAGAGTTTATTCTCTGCTCTGTGGCCGAGAGTGGCTTTTAAAAAGATATATATGATCTTTAAAAAAAAAAAAAAAAAAGATCACTTAGTTTCCTGCTTCAAGCTCCCCAGTGGTTTCCCACTGCATTTAGAATTCAACCCAGACTTGCTCCGTGCAGGCATATGGCAACCTGTTTGCCGCCTCCCCTTCCCTTCCTTCTCCCTTGCTCTCTGTGTTTTACCACACTGGCCCCTCTGTCCCTTGAACTGGGACCTGCCACAGGGACTCTGAACTTGCTGTCCCCTCTGTCAGAAACCGCACAGCAGGTCCTCATCACTACTGAAGCTTCCATTCAAGCACTACCTCCTTAGGGAGGCCTTGTCTCAGCACCCCTCCCCCAGATTCCACCAATCTTGATCTTATTATACTGATCTGGTTTTTTTTCATTGATCTGTCATTGACATTTCACATCATTATCTGAAATTACCTCATGTATATTTATGTGTTTATTTTCATTGTTGGTGTTTGTTCCCTCCCCCTGCTCCCCCTTCCAGCCCCTTTCCCCAAATATCAGCTGCTTGGGGACGGGAATTTTGTCAGTATTCATGGCTGACTCTTCAGACTCTTGGACACTGCCTGGCATCTGCAAGTCACAGAGAAAGCATTTGTTGGATGCTGTTGAAGGAGAAGGGTTCACATCTCACCTGGCTCTGAACAAATCTTCCTGATCCCGCTATCACCTCATTTCCCTCCTCCTCCTCATCTACATACTTCCAGAAGGAGTAGATCATACCTAATGTATTTATTTAGTCATATTCTTTCCCTCTGTAACCCTAAACAACTCAGCTTTTCCCACCACTACCACCCAAAAGTGCTTCCTCAAAGATCTCCATAAAAGTCAAAACCAGTTGCTCAGTGTACTCTTCCCTCTCTGTAGCACCGGGCACTATTAACCCTGTTCACATCCATGGATCTCCCTTTGACATTGTTCTCTCTTGGCATGACTCCTTCCCAGGGGCATGGTAAACCTGGGAGTATATCCTGGAGTGTCTCAGGAATGTGTTGGGGGTTCCAGCCATCATACCTGGTGAGCAGGCTGGCTCTTAGCCAGATAGTCCAGAACAATTGCGATGGGTTAATGGCATGGACTCCCCATGCAGAGTGCAGAGGGGAGCCGCTCAAAGCACCAAATCCCCTGATCTCATTCAGGTGGTACTTTGGCAGTGGTGTGTCATGCTGGGTACCTGACAGCCAGGGAGGATGCCCTCCACCAAAGGGCACTGCTGAGCCACCTGCTCTGTGTAGGTGTCCTTGGGCTGTCCGTTGATCTTCTATCTGCCAAGTAAGTAAGATCATTTTCCTGTGCCTGTGGAATCTTTTGATACATTCTACTGGGCCAAAGGTATTTCTGCCACAGCTGGACACATGATGTTCTAAATCATAGTCCTTGTCTTGCCCCACTCAGTTCCCACTTGATGTGGGACATGCAGGTTGGGAGTGCCTACCTCTCCCATCTACTGGCTACATGGCCTTGGACAAGTCACTGCATACCTTAAATCCTCTAGCTCCATATCTGAAAATTGAGCAGAAGCACTATGACCTCGTAGGCACCTTGACTCTGACATGAGGATGCCCAGGACATTCAATCATCAATGGCTCCCCATTGCCCTCCTAATTAGCTCTGGCATTCAGGCCCCCACCTCATAATCCTTGGTGGCTCCTCAGGTTCTGCCTTCCCATGTATGCTGGGTCCTCGGATTTTGCCCTGACCTTCCACGGCTTATGGGAGAACCATTTTCCCCTTGGGCTTTTCTTTGAGTTCCGTATTTTTTTTAAAAAAACAGAAACATGCATTAATTTTATAATCAGGAAAAAAAACATCTCACCATTAATATTGTTTTGAATTACCCACCCTTATTTCAAAAGCCATGTGTCCATAAACCGTTTCTGGATTACCCCAACATCTGTGGGTGCTCAGACCTTTGAATCCACTGCATTCATCCTTTTTAAATCCATCCTTTTTAAAGCTCTCTGGGAATTCACAGTATTGGCCCTTACAAAGTCAAGTACGTATGGGGGTATAATACAAATATACGACCAATTGTTAGAGAACTCAAAATGTGAACTCGGGGCAGATCTCCACTTTTCACTCACTGGGTATTTTGACTGCAGTGACCGGTGACTATCCAGCTGCCCTGCCCATGATTTCAATAAATATTTGTTTAACTGAATTGTTAACCAACGCATGTAAGAACAAGCCGGACCTACATGCCTTGTCTCTTATAAATAGAATAAAAATAACCTGTGTAATTCATCAGATTAACTGATAAAAGGTTTTGTTCCTTTGCCTGGGGAGAGGGCCAGAAAGAGACCATTTAGAAGCTTGTCTTTTCCAAACCCAGCAGTTTAATGCCACTTGAATGGAAGAAAAACAGCCACAGTTATAATGATCTATGAGTTCATGTCTATCTTTTGCTTTTCCACCCATGAAAGATACGAAGTACTTTACGAGGGCCAGAGCTCAGGAGGGGATGCCGTGTGCCGCCCTCAGCCCCTGCCTTGTGGAACAGTCATTGCAAAGGAATGTTTATCCCTGCATGGACTCTTCACTCTGGGGCTCACCACCACGCACACTGCTGTGCGTGGTTTCACTCCACCTGCCTCCTACCTTATTTTGTGGGGAGCAGTCTAATTATGCGGGGATGAGCACTTTCTTACAAATTTTTAATTCCTCTGGGCAGTTAATAAAAGAGAGCTAAGTATGGCTGTTTTAATCCTATCGATTAGAGTGGGAGGCTGAATAAGACAAATTCTCTCTATTGTTTACTTGATCATCTGTTTAAATTTTCTTTAAACGTGAGCCAAAAATCCTCGTTGCATTTTTAGTGATTGTGATCATCATTAAATAGTCGTCTTCTCTCCACACCTTCCTGTTGTGAAGTCTGTACAAATTGGGTTAGTTCCGGTCCAAAAGGAACTTGTAATTTAAAACAACATAAAGGCCAGTGTTTCTCAACCGGGGGGCAGTTTTGTGTCCCTGGAGGACATTTGGCAATGTCTGGAGATATTTTTGGTTGTTGTAACTTGGGGTGGGGGGTGGGGGTATGGTTTGCTATCAGCATCTAGTAGGTAGAGGCCAGGGATGCTGCTGATCATCCTGTAATACATTCAGAGCTCCACCACGAAGAACGACCTGGCCCAACATTTCAGTAGTACTGAGCTTGAGAAACCCTGATATAAACATATGGACTTAAGTGCACAAATAGTTTAAAAATGGTGGTAGATTGAGAAATGTCTACCTTCTATGGAGAACGTCTAGACAAGAGATGGGAGGGATTGCAGACAACTTAATGCTACCAGAATAGCCCCGGGTGGCAGAATTAACTTATCACCTTCCTTCCAGATTGCAGCAGGCTCTGTGAAAGGGATCGGGAGGGTGCAGGAGATCTTTTCCGAGGCGAGAGATCTTCACGAGTATGTATGATGACTTGAAATCATTCTGATTTTTACCACTGGGGTCTATGCCTGACAAGAATGCCAGTCATTTAGGAAACAATCACTACTCGCAAACCTTTTACATTGGAAGTGGCGGACTTTATTCTGTGATTTTGAAAGTACTCACAAAGGCCAGAAACGACAGAGAGTTCAGGATCATGTTAATTCAAAGACTAAAAAAGAGGAACCATTCAGCTAGCCCAAAGAAATGATTGCATCATTTCCTGGTGTGCGGTTCAGGTTAAAAATAATCTTTAATCCCCATCAAGAGCAAGCTGTCTTGTCAGAGAGAATTAGGAAATTACCTCCGAGCCAGGTTATAGGGTGGGGTGGAGAAGGGGCGATTCGTCAAGGAAGAAATTACTGCTGCGTTTTAGGATTAATCTGTCTGCATGACTGCAGAAAAGGTGGGGCTGAGGGGGTACTGATGTGAAGGGAGAGAGGAGGAAGGTGCATGGGGAAGTCTTGGTAGGTTTTCTGTGGGGAGGCACATGCGTGCTACCTGGGGAGGTGGGCGCTGACTCGAGGGTCTTGCAGCATTGGGCAGCTGGCTGTTCTTTTGTTCTCAGTCTTGGGCAGTCTGCCTTGGCCTTGAGTGCTCACGGAGATGGTAAACCACAAGCTCTGTGCCTATTGGGCCAATGAGGAACACGGGGAAGGCTGACCTTCGATGAGCCCTAGAGTCATCTTGGCATCTTGGCATCACCACAACACACTGGGGTCACCATTGCACAGGCTGTGAAGGAATGGGGGAGGGATGGCATCTGTTGAACATAGGAGGCTTTTTGACCTTTCAGATCAACTGTAGGTTTCAGCCAGCTGGCGGTCACCTCCTATTTGCCTCTGTGTTAAAAACTCCATTAAAAAAAAAAAGAACAACAAAAAACCCAGAGCTGTTGTAAATGTGCCCCGAATTCACATTAAAGGCACTCAAATATGAGCAAAGAATTGTCAAGGGCTGTGATGTCCTATCTCACTGTCCCTCCAGCCTTGTGATTGGGGCCAAGACCTACTGCTCTGGAAGTGATCAACTAGACTCATTCTACCTCGTCATTTCAGAGCCTGCATGAATATGCATCTTGTGGAAATTGACACTTGAAAGATTAAGGGTTGTTTTCTTTTTTTTTTTGAGGTTACACTGTACTGAGGTTGAAGTAAATCTTCACATCTGATCTTGTGTGTGTGTGTGTGTGTGTGTGTTTAAACTCAAAACCACAATAACTCTGGCATGGTTTTTAGACATGAGCAGTACCACGATATCCTGTGTAATAAGCAAAAGAAATAAACAAGAGAAATATGGTCTCCTTAGAAGTGTCTAACCCAAGTGGCAGAGTAGAAAACACACAGGCTGGACTCAGGTTTAGGCCGTACCTCACCTCTTACTAGTTACAGATCCTTGAGCAGTTCAGTTCATTTTTCTGAGATTTAATTATGTCATCAGCAGAATGGAAATAGCATTGCTTACTTCCTAGGACTCTAATCTGAAATGAATAAGCTCATGTGTATACGAGCCCTGCCTAGTGCCTGGCGTTTGGTGGGTACTTAATGAATAGTAATTATTACCATAATTTTTTTCCGTTAGAGAAGTACAGTGTCCCTTTGAGACATTGTTCTGTCAGTGATTATATATCACATTTTATAATATACCACAAAACCATGTAGTTACCAGTAGTCCGACAAATGCCAACACATTTTTCATTAGTATTATCACCAAAACCCCTCTGTGAGGCACTCGCCATGTGGAATTAAAACTTGCTCACCTGTTTGCCAATAGCACTGGGAAATCAAAGATATCTGCGCATACATAGATGCAAGCCAACTGTTAGAGAAAAATGCGTCGTAATGAATATGACATCATTTGGTTTGAAGGCTGTGGAGGTTTGGTCAGCAGAAGCAATAGCTCAAGGGAGATGCTGGGACTCTAGCCAATAACTTCTGACCTACAGACAGAGAAGAGACTCTGGGAACTGAAATGTCTCTTATCACATTTTAATTCAAAAAATAGAATCTTACACTCTGAGCCGAATATATAAATGGAATAAGATATCAGGAAGAGTAGTTTTCAGGTGATAAATAGTGCACTTGGCAAAGAGCTTTCTACATGTGGCATCAGTGAAGCATGGGACCTTTTCTCTGCGTATTCCCACCGTGCGTATCATCAAAACAGATGGATGTCTGGAACTTAATGATAATGCCATGCATTTATATAACACTTGTATACAGGGCACCTTGACATGTAGGACCTCAAAAGTGGGGGAGACTTATTGACTCGTCTGTCTCTTCATCCATCCATCCATTCATCCATCACCCATCCATCTATCCACCCACCTACCCACCATCCCCTCCATCTATCTATCCACCCATCCATCCATTCAACCAACATTAATTGAATGCATACTTTCTGCCAGGCCCTGGGCTGGAGGCCAAGGCAACAAAGATGGAAAGACTCAATTCTACCCCTCACGGACCTTTCAAAGCACTGAGAGTTGGACGCAGTCAAAAGGGAGACATACTCAAAACTCAGTGAATTACACATGGGCTGGCCACATAGCAGACTTTTAGTAAATACCACATAAAGACGACAGAAATAAACAACAGGTGTGTGGAAAGAGATGCTGTTTCCAGCTCTCTCTGAATTATTTATTTTGAGAGCAAGGGACTTTGAGCCTGAGTTTCATCATTTCGGGCAGAATAACTCTGGTGAGTAGGTGGCTCTTGCCTCTCGTTCTAGCCCACATTCCTCATCTCCAGAGAGAATGTTTCCGTGGCTTGAAGCCTTTAATGGAGAAAGTTCTCCCTAACAGGCTGTCTTCACTTCAAGCGAGGGAGGGCCCTTTGCTGCATGCTTGGTCACTGACGATCCTGGTGGAGGGAGCCCAGGGATCATTTTCACGTTCAGCCGCTGAGCAGGCTGGATGGGGGCCATCTGTGTTACTCTCCCTTTATCTAAGATGGCTGTCCAGGGCAGCCAGGAATGGGTTTTTGAAAGAAATACTCAGAAAAGTTAAAAAATAGCATAAATGTCATCCCCCCGTTCCCTATCAAGTTGCGATTTATTGTTCATTTTAGTTTGTCTTCTGTGCCTTTTGCCAAGGATTTAGCCATGTATACTTTGGCTATTTTGAATTAGAATTTCAAACTGCATAGAAACTCTGGTGCCATTGTTTTTGTTTTTTAAACAAACAAACAAACAAAAAATTGAATTCTGCACTTGTCTGTTTTAAACATCAGCAAAACTGAAATTGATTGTCATATAACTCTAAGTTATAATAACTTTGACCTACTTGGATTCGGTCTGCAATTTTGGCATGAACTGATGGGAGTTAAAATATTGTGAAGCTTAAAAAAAAATTTATTTTCCTGGTTTGGATTTGAGAGGTTCTGGAAGTTTGAGATTGGAAAGGGATCATTAGAAAACACATCATCATCAATCAATTTACTGAGACAACGGTGTACATGGCGTTCCATTCCAGCTTTGCAGAGATTGTCCCATCAATTCTAATCTGGCCATTGTCACTGAAGCAGACAAAGAATCAATCAAATCAACAAGTATTTATGCAGGACTTATCACACACTTAGCCCAGTTTCAGGGTAGGACTTGGAAGAGGAGCGGGACAATGTGGCAGATGTCTAAGATACATTCCTTCATTATGTGAACAGTACAAAGGAAAATAGCAATTTTTTTTCCTCAAAATACTGTCTGTCTTGGACGCCTGGGTGGCTCAGTTGTTAAGCAGCTGCCTTCGGCTCAGGTCATGATCCCAGAGTCCTGGGATCGAGTCCCACATCGGGCTCCCTGCTCAGCGGGAAGCCTGCTTCTCCCTCTCCCACTCCGCCTGCTTGTGTTCCTGCTCTCGCTGTCTCTGTCAAATAAATAAATAAAATCTTTAAAAAAAAAATACTGTCTGTCTTGATCATTAGCTTTGAATAGATGTACGATTTTAGGTTACAAAGTTGAAAATATTTTAACTGCTCAGTACTTTCAATGTCCAGTGAGTTATTCGGGGAAGCAAAAGCCCACAAATTTATTATACTGGTCTGGTGTTTTGACAATTGCTGCTGATTTGGGCAGCATAGAAAGGACCCTTCATCCTGTCTGCAGAAGAGCACAACAGTATAGAAGGGGCTTCAAGGGAATTATTTCCTCCCTGGCATCCCTGTTGCCGAGTGATCAACAAGTTTCTGCATACCAGTTGGTATTGTATGGTCTCTCAGGCCCACGAAGCTGACCAGCAGGCAGATGGACATTGATGTTCTGTCCATAGTCATGGAAAAGGGTTGGAAGTGGCCAGGTTATATAACAGTCTGACTTAAAGAGAAATCCAGACCCTTTTCCAAGAAATAAAGCAACACTTGGGAAGTATAAGGGGACTTTTCTCTGTACTGTCCAGCTAGGGAGGCGTTCAAAGCACCTGTGATTTTCCCAACAGCTCCATCAAGGTATAATTTACGTGGCATAAAACCCCACCTGTTGTAAGTGCACAGTTCAGCATGTTTTAGTAAGTTCATACGGTTGTGCAACCGTCAATATAATCCAGTTATAGAACACCCCCAAAGTTCCCTCAGGCCCATTTGCTGTCAATCCCTGCTCCCACCCACAGACCCAGACAACCACTGATCTTCTTTTTGTCTAGGAATTTTACATAAATGGAATCATACAATATGTTGTCTTTTGTGTCTGGCTTCTTTCACTTAGCATCATGTTTTTAAGGTTCATTCATGTTGTTTCATGAATCAGTAATTAGCTCCTTTTTATTTCTGAGGAGTGTTCCTCTGTATGGATAGATCATTTTGTTAATCTCGTCATCAGCCAATGAACATTGGGATCTTTTCCAGTTTTTGCTATAATATGCACTCTGTCACTGAAAACTTTAAGCAAAACATGACACTCATGATGAAATGGCAATTTGATCCACTCTTGATTTTGAATTGTTCATGTCACTGCCCCGTTCTAAAATAGACTTATATTAGGTCCACACGATATAAAGCACATCTGGAAGGGGGACGTTACTAAGTGGATAGTTTGTCCAATTAAGACTTCGGTTATGCCACATGAACCAGATCTTAGAGACTTGAGATGAGTCAACTCTTCCCAAAAGCAAGAGAAATTTGCCCAAAGACACTCTTACTTTTTTTTCTCTTACTATATCTGTTTCCTTACTCTTCAAGTACTGGCTCTAGCTACCCCACCCTTCCTCATTCACCCATGCATAAGTATCTCATGGACCTTTCCTTGTGTTAAGGTAGGTGCAGTAGTAGATAGGAAAAAGGAGTCAAACATGAAGATTATAACCAGTTTTGCATAGGTACCCAACTCAGTTTTTTGAACATTTTCGACTGAGACCCACAGTAAGAAATACATCTTAGCATATATAAATAACTGAGACAAGAGTTTCGTCAAATGGTACTTAACAATACTGCGTGTGGTGCACTATGTTTTCTGTTTCATTAAAAAAAAATTGATTGCAATCCACTGAATGGATTTTGCCAACACTCATGGGTTGCATCTTGCAACTTAAAAAAAAGTTTCACAAAATGTTAACACTTTGGGATAAAGAGGGAGAGGACAATGCTTTCCATCCAGGAGGACTGGGGCATGGGAGAACCGTATGGGGGCTGAGCTGGGGGTGGATGGTGGTAGACAGAGGGTGTGAGGACCTTCTTAGCAACACAGATACCGCTCTGACCCTTGTTCATCTAATTTCCACCAGGGCTTGGAAGACAGTCCTCCGGGCAAGTCCTGTGTAACGAGGAAGCCAGGTCCCTGTGGTTTGGCAGAGGTGGGTGGCAGAAGGGATGACAGCGAGAGGAATTTTCCTTGCTTCCCGGCGAATAGAACAAGCCCAACCTCATAAAGCAAATGTGCCCTCAGTTATTCAAAATTTACTGCCCTTGGATTTGATAATACTTCTCTTGGAGTAGCTGAAGCACGCAAGAACCTAGCAGGTTTTATGATCTCCCTGGAAGACCAAACACTTGGGCTGTGTCTCCAATTCTTTTGGAATCAATAATTATCTTTGGTTTGTTTTTCTTTCCTCTTCGTCCAGTCCTTTAAAAATTCCTTCTCTAGCCTGTTTTCTCTCTGCTGTCTTTCTTATGAAATAACTAAAGCCGGACACTATAACAAAACAGCTCCTTTCATCAGTGCCACCCAGATCCTTTATTTGGTGGTACTTCTCTCTGTCCCTAATTCTTGAGGGTGACAAATGCTGGGACAGAGGTGGCTTTCAGATAAGCAGGAGAGGGATTTTTTTTAAAAGACATTTATTGAGAAGTAATTACTGACTAAGCATTTGACATACTTTGTCTCA